CCCCCCTTCCGTGTGTTTTTGTGCTGCTGCTGTCAGTGCTGAAGGTGCTGATGCTGACTCTTAAAGAGAAGTGCTTACCTCCCCTGTATTAAGATGAACTGAAATGCAAAGCACTCACCTCACCTCTAAACTCTTTACAGGCAATCTTGTCACAATGATGGCAACATTAGCTCAAGTTCAAACTTAAAGGCTTTAACAATTCCCCAAAAGAGTGTGAGAGAGAGCCCAGCTGAGCCTTTTCCCACTTAACCTACACGTTTTGGTACATGAAAGAATGGTTAATGAGAATCAATAGTCCCACCATGTTTAAGTGTGAGGGAACAAAAAGGCATTTAACTGCAGTGACAGGCTTGCGGCTGTCCACGTATAAAATATTCAGAAGTTCAACTATATCCCATGACTGCCTGTGAAGAACACGTCAGGGCACGATGTGTCAAAGTTAAAATGGCAACAACGCAAAAAGTTATTTAAAGGATGGAAGTTTCACAGGGAGTTCACAGAAGCTGCTTCTTAAAAGTTCCTGAGCAGAGAGAGTGAAAGAGTGCCGCTGTCCGTGGTGCTGAAAAATAATCCACCCCACAACACAAGTGTTCTCTGCTGGGAAGCCCCACCGGACAAAGCTGACTGTGGATTAAGATCTTTTTACACTCTCCCTCTCTGACCTCATCACTCCAAACATTCTGTTTGTTGCAGATATTTCTTCAGGCTCTATTTAAAGCATCAAACTAAAAGTACTTTGGCACGATAATGCAGTGCAACTAACAAATTCACAGTTTTTTCTTTCTTTTCTGTCAAGTAAGCAGTTTGAATGCTCCTGCACCCAAAAACAAACCAAAAAACAGCAGAAAAACAAAACTGCAAAGAAGTAAGACTGCCACAGAAAAAAAATAAAAACTTAAGGCATCTAACACTTTGATTTGTTTTCTGATCTGTGAACTTAGGATGTATTACTTTAAGTTTTTGTCTCCTGTGCACAGTTAGTGCTTAATCATGCAGTAGCCTTGATTTTGCTGGATCTTACCTGAGTGTTGCCAAGACACAGGAAACTTTTCCATGGACAACCAAAAAGTTGCTCCTTCAGACAAGAAGAACAACTCTAGCAAAGCGAAAGACACATAGTAAGTGGCATCCCGCGTGAAAGATAGCAAAAAGTAAGAGGGGGAAGGAGAAGGAAAGGATGGAGCCGAAGGAAAGGAAGCTTACTTTGGAAAAGGAGAAAAAGAGAGGAAGAGGTGAGCGAAGTCAAAGACGAGAGAAATGGAAGAGAAGAGAGAATTCGACTGTAGGACTGCAGTGAGTAAATGAAAACAGGGAGGGGGGTAGTAGAAAGAACTGGAGAGAAAGACAGAGACGGACAGGTACACTTGAGAAGAAGAAGTGAAGCCCCGATCCCCTTCCTCCAATGAAATGTGATTCCTTTATGCGGAATGTGAGCGCAAGTGAGGAAGACAAAGTGAGGGAGAGAGTCGAACTAGGCAGAGGGTGGGGGGGAGGGAGGGCTACTAAGAGCTTGCAGGAAAGGAGGGGGAGGAGGAGAGTGGTGCATTTCCTTGACTATAAAAAAAAGGTTCACAACATGGATGTGGTGCAGGTACGGCCTTTGCGGCTGCCATCACGTGGCTTTTATGAAACATCGCGAGCCCCTCTGGATGGCAGAGCAGCCCGTGGGTGAACAATCCGACCTCACCTGGAGTAGAAACAGAGGGAGAGCGCGAGCAAATAACTCTGGCTTTTTACTGCAGCAGAATTCATTCACTTTTATAGAGCACTCTCCTTTGCAATTCCTCCTCCTCCTCCTGCCCCCTTACACACTCTCCTCTACCCCCTTCTTCCATTACTAGAGGAGAGACAATATTACAGTAGCTGTTCGCTGTAAATGCCCCCAGTGAGAGTGCTGCATTCACTTTGTCTCTTTTCTCCACCCCTCTCTCCAAAAATCACCCTTTCTCCCTGCTTTGTCCCCCATCATAAGGTCATTGTCTGAGCCTCGTTCTCCTGATTGTTCTGTCCTTTTTGCCCCTTTGGTGGATTTAAAAAAATGAAAGAAAGAAAAATCGGATTTATGTCCTTTTCCTCTCACCTTTACTTCACTCCCCTCCTCTTATCTATCCCTGTATGCCATCTCACACACACACACACACACACACACACACACACACACACACACACACACACA